TTTAGAGGGTATCTCGCCGTGGGTGAAATCGTTGATATGCCGTTTACCGTTTATTTTGAATATTCTGCGAACTCATCTTGAGAGTTGCTGAATTAGTAATGGCAGATTTTATGTTGTGAACTTTTTTTGTGGTTTCGCGATTTTTGGGAAATATTATGTGTTTCGTGTTTTCATCAGCATTCCCGTTATGATCATTTTCCAATATGTTGGCGTATATTATTGCAATTGCATTATATAGTTGCTGCAAGGCTCCTAGAATGGCTCTCTGTGGTAGATTGGAGGGTTGCAGTACTCGAGTGAAGGCCTCGAGACAGGAGTAGGAAGCCGACTCATGCTGGGGCAGTTGGACAATGGTGCTGTTAGTGGTCGAGGTAAATGATGGAGTTATAAATCATAAATATCACGTCGTAAATGATGGAGTTATTCTAGTTGTTCCATCACGGATGACAGCAACTGTATCGTGTTCTATCTTCTTGTGCTCTTCCAGAGCAGTAGTATAGAATAGTCTTGTAGACTCCCTTCCTATCTACATCTATTCGCTGTAGTAGAAGTCACTAGCTCTGTCCTGTCTTCTGAGCAGAATTGATTGTACGCTTGCAGCGCATAGGTTATGACCTGTGCACTGTTCAGTGTTGTGAGGATATGAGAACTGTTGTGAGATAGTTGTGGATACTTATTTCTTCTATTTAATCTACTCGTGTTAAGATGACTGGAACGCCTACGCACACCGAGACTGAGGACAACGACAGCTGACACTCACACTTTGATTATTTACATGAACGATTATGTTCTTTAGGAATATTTGTTTTTTTGGCGTGCAGTCCGTGCTATGGTAGAACTGGCTGGATGCTTGGTTCTGACTGTTTAGTTATGTTGGAACAAGTTAGTCTGTGCGAGACCTTCGAGTTCCGGAATAGCCTCCTGAGATGTGGACGGAGCCGATCGGGAAATGATGTTGTTGTTTTTGACAGTAGGTGATGGTCTTGGTTTTAGATGGGCAAACCGTAATCTCTTGCTATGGTTTACACCGTAAGATACGGTACGGGTAGAGATACTATGGCTCAACTTTAGAGAACTCTTCGTAGACGATGTAACTGCGTAATTTTCGGTCTTATTTCGGTTCATGTTTGCATGGGCGAATTCTGTGCTTCTTGAAAGAGTATAAAGTTACCGTATTTTCCCCTCATTCATGTTTTTTCATCCAACATGGAGTATTCATGCTAGTTGGACATTGATCATACTCTGTCTAGGATAGGAAGGAATTTTCACGGAATCTCGATGAACTCCAATGTGCATTGACGTGAGATCAGGAGATTATAGTGTCGGAACGATTGATCGATCGCCTGAGGTTGATGGTTCAGTTCACGTACTATGTCGGGCGTTGCAGCAAAGGCTGGCTTGCGACACTTGAGTATTCACTGCTATTATACCTCAGCTACAATGAGCCGTCGTCATTTCGAGGTGGAGATTGCGGATCGGATTGCAGACACAGCAGTGGTAGGATACCTCGCCCCTCTGTGAGATCGTACCCCTGTATTAGAGTGTGATATGGTTATCATTATAATCATGTCTAGCCATAGTGTGATCGTAAGGGGGTTGGTAATAATCTTATATGTGGGAGAACAGCAAAATATCGCGAATCTGGCTGATTGCCATTCTGTTTTTTAAATCAATATAGAGGGGGACCCAATTACGATATCGAGCCAAGATGGTGTTGGATGTTCGCTCACGATGGGTCGTGGTGGGACTGTTTTTCTCTGGCTGTATTGCTTCCATTCTGTGTGCTGCTTGAATGACATCATCTGCTTGAGGCTTGAGAAAACTCTGGGGGCATTTGCTGGCTGCTTCTAGCTCCTATGGGTGCTCGTAGATACGAGATATGGGCAGCTCTACTGGTACATTCGTGATGGTACCGTACGCCAGAGTGGAAGCTGATGACATTGAAGATTTCCAATGTGAATTGCCTGCACGTTTGAGGTTGGGATGGCGTAAGTCGCGATTGCATCGGACTGGGGGGTCCTTCTTACACACGGGGAGATGTTGATGGACTTGAGTAGTATTCGATCAGTGGAGTAGGAATATATGTTCGCTTGCTTCAGCTGAGCTCAGGAGTTTCCTATACAGTGTTGGAGTAGGAATATATGTTCGCTTTTCTCAGCTGAGCTCGGGAGTTTCCTATACAGTGTTGGAGTAGGAATATATGTAATCGCTTTCCTCAGCTGAGCTCGGGAGTGTCCTATACAGTGTTGGAGTAGGAATATATGTAATCGCTTTCCTCAGCTGAGCTCGGGAGTGTCCTCACTGATCGTAGGAATTTATATATGAACTAAAGTAGAAGTGTACAGAAACCAACGAGAATTCCCCGAAATTTCATCAAAATCTTCATAATACCATCGTCCACCATGTGCATAACTCTTCACACTGTTTGCGATGATGAGCTGCCAGGAGTCAGGAGTATCCTGTTGTTCATGTATCACTATCGCGTTGTTGTAGGGACGGATGTGTACATATCCACCCGAGTGTGTGGCGAGGATGAGGGCCTGTTGGGCATCTGCGTTGAGGTGGAGATCGGGTTTGGAGAAGATGCTGGGAAAGGTATGTGGGAAAGACTGTTGATCAGTGAAGATCGATGATTAACTTCATCGTAGTTGTGTGTAGCGTGATGGGCTGAAGTTCATGAGTAGTCTAGCAGGGTCTCAGGATTGTTCGCTCATTGACGTCGATTTTGTTTTTGAATTCCCTGATATTAAGAGAAGTTGCCGAGCAGCGGTGAGGTTAAATTTCTGTTCAGAATGCAAGATGACACATCATTTCATCTGAGCGTTATCTCTGCTGTTATCAGTCTTCGGTCCATTCTCTTCCGGAGAGGAAGGTGACGGCGTGTCCCTGATCGCAGGACGGGATCCAGACCGTTGTTCGGTGGTGCTTACGGATCCTCAAGTCAGCAGCGTACATTGTAAGCCTTGTTCGTGGTGGGTTGTCGAATTTACTACGCGATGTGAATTCGTGAATGAATGTATGCGCGTTGTGGTCAGGTGAGATCGTATGGTGTCCAGATGGCGAAGGAATGGTAAGGATAAGGGATTTCTCCAGCACCAATAGTAAGTGATCTTAGAAGAGCTCTGTGGTAGAGTATAGTGATCAGGGACGTGGCACAGAGTTAGACCCGAGAGTGATGCCCTGGAGAGTTCTCCGTATATTATATATGCGGGGGATGTTATTAAGGTTGGCCTATGGGGATGCGTTGTCTCTTTTCACTAGCATTCGGGGGAGTTGTGGTATATTACGTCGCATTTCTGCAAAATGATTATGTTCAAATCTCATTGATTGCCCTTCGGCATTTCTTGAAAAATTATCAGTTTCCAATCCCATGACCAGAGTGATGACTAAGCTGTGGTTGGTATGATTCCGTGTTAGGCGGGTGAGGTTGCTTTCGTACTGTTCGATCGGCTCGCATGGTCTGGGGTGCCAGTGGATGTGGCGGATGGTCGAGGAGAAGGTGTTGGTGAAGCCAGTGCTGCAAGCTCGTTGGTGAGATGCCCTCGGAGAATTGGAAATGAATCTTATCATATTTTAAGCAGATAGTAGTCATACCACGCCATGCGTTATAAGTGGATTGTGTTTGATTCGGAGTGAACTGCTTAGGAGTTCCTAATTAGTAACTCTGAGAATTGTTAGGCGTGTTAGGGCAGCTTCGTCCACAGAATAAGACTGCTAGATGACACTCGATGCAAGATCATATCGAAATCGATGACACGATCCTCCTCAGATGCTGGTCCCGACTCATCAGGAATTACCTAATGCCCTTCCAGTACGGTCAAGGCATCGAGGGAGTAGTAGTAGGAGTAGGAGGAGGCCTGTAGCGGCTCGTAGTGGCCACCACCACCACCACCATCGTGGCCTGCCTACTAGGGGAGTTCATTCCGTGGCTACTGATCGCGATGTGTCGAGATCGGTAAGTAGATATCATGTGTAGTCTCTGTATGCATTGTCTGTTATCAGTTCGTAGAGGACCCTGAGAGGGATGGTGGAGTACCCAGCATATCCCCAGCTGAAATTTTCCATGCACGGCTCGAGATGCTGTCACTACAGCGTGAATCTCGTATGGTAAGAACCTAACGAAGTCAGGTCTATCATCTCTGCTGGGTTGAATCGGCCTAGTTCAGACTGGGTCGTAGGATAAATTTTACGGAATGCGCGATCATCGAGCGGCTGGTTTGTGAAGATACTACCAGAGTGTTACACAGTGCTGGTAGTTTCCTCACTAATCAGAGAAGTTTACACACAAATTCGGGTAGAAGTCTGCATAAACCAACAAAAATCTCCCAAAATTTCCTCCCAGAATTCGCATAACGTCACCAACACATGTCGTCGAGCAAGCACATATTTTCCAGCACTGGTCTTACACGTGTTAACGGAAATATTGGGCGATGTTTTTATCGTAGGCTCCATCAGTGCCATCCGCGCCGAGAGAGTCCCACATCCGGTGCCTGGTAAGTAATTCGGGCTGACTGTAATGCCCTGCTTGGCACTTGGGCTGAATTCTCGTGATTCCATAAACGTGTTTGATGGTCAGTTTGTAATTACTAGCAGCCCGCGTCGCTTCGCTCCGGGGAAGCTGTAGCTACTACGGAGGGGGGTTATAGTACATTTCCTGCATGGTGTTTGCACCTGGTTTGTTATGAACGTAAAGCGTGGACTCCACAGTGAGGAATAATAGTTGAAGGTTGGTAGAATTGTACTCCCATACGATCGCCAAATTTGCACGAACTGCGTGGGTACACAAATTGCCTAACTGCAAGAAGTGCAAGAAAACGTGATGAAATTACGCACGATGTAGGTTTAGGAATGCGTTGAAAAGAGTAGAATTGTAGTGTTGGGAGGCGTTTAGAATGAATAAGTAGGAAGTAGCGTGGTAGAGGGGCATATGCTGAAAATGGGGTAGCATGTAATTAGAATTTGTGGAAGAAATTTGAAAATGTGAAATATTAACGCACGATTATATCCACCTAGCTTAAAAGTATTAATGAACTTGCGCCCGAAAAGCGTGCGCCCGACTATGTCGTGCTCGACTGTGGTTTGTTGATAAATTTCTGTTGCGCTCAGGATAGTATCCTCCGTGATTTCGCACTCACTGGTGGTAACGCTGTGGATGGAGTAAAGAGCGGGGATGAAAACCTGGGGAAGAGTTATGGGAATAGCGCTCAAGTCGAGGATGAGGATGCGTGTAAAGTTTGCTATGAGAGGCCAATTGATACGGTGAGAGGGCGGCTTCTCTAGTATAGTGCGTGTCGGTTGGATATGCGAATGTGGAGAATATGCGTGTTCTTTTTTGGAGGTATTGATAGTGGACAACTTGTCGCATAGTCTTGAAAGATTACTTTTATCACATCACATGTTCATAGCAAGCGTTATAGTTTCAGATCGATTCTGATTAATTTCGGGAAATAACGCACATTTTCTACATCTCAAATTCATACGCACTGTTTTTCGCTCTATGCCTCTATGGGGTGCCTCCTATTCCTCGGGGCTCGCATTGAAGTGGCTGCCTTGGCCGAATGGTTGAAGTATTATTTCACTCTATCAGGTTCTAGTACCTTGTGGTCACTTTGTAGTCTGTAGTGCCTGCGTGTTGAGGTTGGATGGTACCGACAAGCAGTGTCCGATCTGTCGTACTACATACCAGCTGGCGCAGAAGATTTTCAAGTAACCTTCCGATGACTCTCCTCCACTCCTGGCTCACCGAGCTCGGAAGCTACGCTTGGTCTCCTCGTTGTGGGTATGTGATCTACGTACTTGCATGATCTTAGGCATATACAGTAGGACGTCTACTTGTGCTAGCAGCAGTGTGTTGAAATTGTTATCATAACAGTGTTATTGATGTTTGACCAACATCCATAGCAGTGTCAATCAGTGTCGCTGGAGTTGAAGTATTGGAGTTGTCGGATGATATTTGGTGGTAGGTCTTAGCCGGAAATTCTGCTTGGGAAGCTCCCGCAAGTCTACGTAATGCGACTACCTTCAATGCAGCCTTTCTGTCTGTACTAGCGTCATGTCAGAATTGCCTTGGTCTCTCCATCACCAGGGGGTTATGTTTGAATAGTTCACTGTTAATCAATCTGGTCGTGTGTGTGTTGGTAGAATTTCCCAATATGTCAGCAGCAACAGGCCATGTGGCGGGGATGGGTTCAGTTGCCAGCTCTCCGAGGGATGCCATTAGCGGGTTGAAAGCCAACGTTATGGTAGTGCAGTCTGGGACAAAGTTCATGGACGGAACTGGTGTATTGGAAACTTCTGGTGTATAAAAATTGGAACACTTCTGGCGATGGGCTGTGAGAACACTGTGCTCGTGTGATGATGGAACTAACAGGCCCTGAAGTTCGTGTGGATGTATTAGGTTTGTGCACGTGTGCGACCACTATTCGGGTGTGGGGCGGAAGGGACATCACAGTGCGTAATCACAGCTGCTGATAAGAAAAGGATAGTAAGTTATAGGGAATGTTTATCTCGTCGTTATGGTCGAATATAATACCCTCGCCAGGTATTGGAAGATCCTCGTCATCGAGAGCTGCCGAAGGAATTTCCATTCGATCACGTCTTTGGTAATTTACTCTTTCGCGCCAACTCGTGCGTCGTTCTCGTACCTCTCCTTCCTCGTTGTCGGACGTGGGCGTCAGTGTCAATATCATGTGACTCAGACTCTTCTGTGACAACCTCGACCATATTCAAGACGCACGTCGCTCGAGGGATCGATGCCGCGGTGGGGTGGCATGCGAATTGTGTTCCGTAGATAATCACGTTTGTTATGGCAAGGTTCTATCCCACGTCCCCTGCACAGTTTTCGCACACGGAGCAAGCGGCAGTGGGAAGACCTTCACTATGCAGGTGAGGGGGATATGCGACATATTCATACTTATTCGTCGAGCAAGTCAATATGGAATTTTGAGCTGAAATCGTCAACCGCTTTGGAGGAGATGTTCGCTGGCGGCTCGTCAGCTTGACACGATTGATGTCACGGGAAGTAACAAGCTAGGTATCGACGAAGTTCAAATCAAAATTCATCGCTCGGTGGCTTGCCACTATGTCCAGCACCTTCTCTACAATATTGGATATCACTGACATCATATGAGTGTTGGTGATTAACTTCTACCCGTTTTCATTGTTGACATACATATTCTCCAAGTGTTCGAGACGCTATCGCCAGTGGTGACAGTACATTCGTGGATGCTTGGAGAGCATGATTGCTCACGAGTAATTGGAGTCCTGGTGATGACTATGATAGTCGCGCTCATCATTATGGTAGCGTGCCGATTCGATGACAGGAAAATCTTCTATGGCCCAGACTGCTTGCGTACACATTCCAGTGACGACAACGACATGATAGACCCTTTTGGAGGTCAAGGCCAGCCTGTCGACCCTCGGGAATCCTCCACCATTAACAGTATAGAAGGCTTTCGGCATCTCGCCCTCGTGGTGTACATACCCACGAGTTATCTACGCGGACAAAAACTGCTGCGGGTCGAGTCTCACTGTAAGACAGAGTATCTTCCCGGAGATGAGTGTCAGACTGGACGCTTTCCACGTTATGCGCAGGTTCAACAAGGGCATGTGTCAAGTCGATTCACGATTTGTAAGCAAGTTTCGCGTCATGAAACTCGCGATGAGAGATATACATTTTACCGGAGTCTCCAGCCCGAAGACTTTGTTTGCCTATTCAGCTGTCTCGTTTCTGAGACAAGGAGGTCTTGTCCTCTATCAGTTAGATTATCTCACCGAGGTAACTAACAACTAGGGTCTAGCCTCGAGTAGTTGCGGAGGCTGACAGCAAGCTCGCTATATTTCACCACGGTCAAGCAATGATACTGCACTACGTTCAATGAGGGTCGATTGTAGATCTTCTGTTTGTGTGGCAGAGGCTATGTCAAGCCTCCTGGTCCTTGCGTTATACCGTTCATTCCGAGCGTTATTTGTTCCTTACAAATTGAAAGGATCCATTGTGTATCAATTGTTAGTTATGGTGACTCCGATTGAGTCACGAGATGAAGTGCGTTCATGATAACAGCGTTTGTATTGGCTTCTGATTTCAGGGCATAGAAGGTCAACCCGCTGAGCCAGTTGTTAGCGGAAACGAGACCGGCCTGATTCCTATGTGCGTGGAGCGGATCTTCAAACGAGTTACAAGTGAGATGTGTTCATTAGGAGGCAATATCAGATGTGTCCTGGAGATAACTCGAGTTCGTTGTAGGTGATATGATGGTGACGATGTCTGTATTTGAAATCTATCAGGAGAAGGTTCGAGATCTCCTCGCTCAAAGTGCGCCTGGGCATCAGCTAGTATTCCTCCTTAAGTGGAGATGGATCTTTTTTGAACTTTTTTCTGCCGGAAAATCTGA